AGATGATCAAACGTTACAAGAAGGCCCGAGACAGGAGTTGTATTATCTAAAGGCCTGCCTTATGTACTGTATTGTTAGAGAAATAATTACATGCAACATTATTGTTATTGATATATGTACAAAACTTGGGATTGCAATGACAAGTACCGTGCTTACATATAAATGATACACAGCTGTTTGTTTCTTTGGGGGTGGGGGGGTGTTCGTTTGTTGTTTTTTGTTGTTGTTGTTTTTTGTCGGGTTATTTTATTCTTCATCAACGTCTCATTCATAGCCTGTACTTATCTCACAAATTAATATAGTTCCACGAACAGTCTTTTGATGGTCACCACTGCGAAGCGTTTTGTTTTTTTTTGTGTTTTTTTTTTAGCTAAAGTCATTGTGTATCAACTAAAGAAAGACATGCCTCACTTCCTCTCCACCCCCCCCTCCAAAAAAAAGCAAAGGGTGGGCAACAAACACTATGGATAGATAACATCAAGGCATAGACTGGTCTAAGTACCACAGAGTGCCTGACGGTGATCACCGACTGTAAGCAACGATGGGTCATCGCACATCAACTTCTGAGCCAGAGATGACACCTCCAGGCGTCCAGGTATAACTCACTGCCCATCAACCTAAAACCTTGTCTCTTAGACTACTAACCAACATTTGCGAGCTTGAAGATATCAACCGTTAACCCGTAAGTATTGGCATTTCGGTATTATAAGAAGAAGTAGCTTGCATTATGGTTAAGGACCGGCTATAACCGTGCATGTGCATGAGCATTGATTTTAGAAAAGTTGAAAATAATACGTAATTTCGTTATTGTTATCTATTAGAATTGCTTAAAATATCATGTAAATGCTCATTTTACCCAATATCGTAATCACCAATTGTAATTATAGTTGTGAATAACATATTATTCACTTTGACACCCTCCAAAAAGTATTTGGCCTGAATTGGCGGATTCACGTTCAGAGTCTTATACAGGAGATAATAATCATTACATCTATACACATTACAAGATGGTTACCGATGCCCGTGATGCAACGTATTCTGCGAGTGAGTTCGTGTTCGTTTGGAAATGTTTTATTATTATATTCTGTTAATTCTAATTCCAAATTTATTTTGTTTATCGCAAAAAAGGGAAGGGGAGGGGGGCTGTTGCTGTTGGGCTTTTAAAAAATTGAGTCTCCCCATTTGTCTGCTGGGCATTGGGTCCCTTTCAACTCGGACTAGCCCTGACAGAGAGGGTTCAAGCAGCCCGCCCCTAAATTACACTAATTGTATTGATAAAGGCGTAAAACATATTAATAATAATGACAAGCACCATGGTGAAATCAAGCTCTCGTCAAAAATCGAAGAAAACTGCATTTTTCTTCCCGTTTGGCAATTTTTATCAAATTTTATTAATTTTTTTTTGCTCAACACCTCTTATGTCCTTTTAAAAACACATTTCCATTCGGATTTGATTGAAAAACGCTAAAAACGTTTTAAAAAACCATCAAAGGCCAGAAAAAAAGCAAATTTACAGTATCTAAGGACACTCAAGCTTTGGAAGTCATCAAACTTGGGCCGCCATTTTCTCACTATTTTTACCCAGACTACCTTAACTCCTATAATCGTAATTGTATCGAGTGGTATTTGAGATAGATAGGTTCATTTTTTAAATCAAAAGCAAGATAAATGAATAAGTTTTAAGATGATACAAATGACCCCACATGCCCCCCCCCCCCCCCCCCCAAATTGACGAATGCCTGATTACACCGTGTCGTGACTCATTTTAAATTTATCGCGTTGCAACCACCCCCCCCCAAAAAAAAACAAAAAAAATCGTTCACAGTACCTGGTTGAAGTTATTCTTGTAGTACCTACTGCCGATTCTTCCCAGCTCCCGACTTCCGACACCTCCTGACGAAGGCAGGCCGTGCGAGACTGCCACGCAAAGTGCCGCAATCCAAGCCACGAACATCATCTGGAGAGGACACGACACAGTTACCGCCCTTAATTATTTTACCGTAGTTAAAATTATAATACCATTGTATTTCTTTTCACGATTAAAATTGGTCTCTTTTACGGGACAAGCGGGCTGACCCAGATTTTGGGGGTTTCCAGAAATCTTGACCTAATACACCAAAAGTGGGCTTTGGACCTATAGGAAAAGTTTGGTTTTATTGTTGTGTATATTTGTCTGGTTATAAAGAAAACTCACCTTGTATTTTAAAGAAACTGAAAAAGGGGCAAAAACTTTATATTCGATTTTCTGAAATCAGCATTTTTCGGGATAACACCCTTGGCTTAAAAGCGAGCAATAAGGAGTGAAAAGGGGGCTTTTACTTTTTGTAATACCAAAGAGAGGGTTATTATAATGTAAGTTTTCCGTTTTCTTTCTCTTTTTTGGAAGTGGGGTGGGGGGCTGTTGTTATTCTCTTCATAGTAGAAATCTCAACTTTTGCATTTTTGGATGAATTGCCTTTAGAATCATAATCCAATCTCAGTCGCAGTTGCACATCGTATTTTTAACTGACTTGGCAGTAAAATTACGAAGAAAATCTAACGAATAGATAGTCAGATAATATGTTTTTTGTAGTATATCATTAGATAACTGTTTGAATAAGTAAGTAAAAAAATGGGTCTTTGGAGATTACAATAGTTATAATAACTAGAACAATAGTGATGAGAGTAAAAATAGCAAAATTAATTTAAAAAATAACACCACAAATAATAATAATGATAGTAAGAGCAATAATAACAATAATAACAATAATAACAATAATTATGAAAATAAAGAGAATAATAATGATAATAAAAATAATATTATTAATAATAATAAGAATAATAATAATATATAATAATAATAAAAACAATAATAATAATAAAGCAATAATTATGGTAATACATGTAATGATAATAATGATATTGATGATGATAATAATAATGATAATTCAATAGTAATATAATTAATGATAATAACAATAATGATAATGACAATAATAATAACAATGATAATAATGATAATAATAATAATAATAATGATAATAAAATAGTTTTAATGACGATGATAATAATAATAATAACAATAATAATAATAATAATAATAATTATAATTATAATAATAATAATAATAATAATAATAATAATAATAATAATCGAAAGACAAATAATGTAAATATCAACGTTCTTCCTAATACAGAATTTTCGGCGCAATAATTCTTTTCTTTATGAGATCTTTTAAGGATTTGGGACTAAACTGTTCAAATTTAAATTATGTTAATGGTGAATGGTAGAAATTCAGATTTTCTTAAATAAATTCGATGGATATACCGCAGTTGCCCTCTATTTCCATAGATCTGAGCCAAAATACTTCTTTAGCACATGTTTAATAGAACGTTTTTTAATGGTGTAATAGTTTATAATTGAAATTTTGTACATACTTGTGTTTTATACACATTTGTACTAATTTGAGAGAGACAAGTGGCGTCAAGCATTATTAATTACTCTGCGTATGTTGCAACAATCATAATAAATCACTACCTCAGAATATTAAAGTTCTATGTGCTCAGTACCTAGTTTTGAGAAATTTGACGCCAAAGATTTCATTTAATTTCAAGCTTGTTTCAAATGCAATTCTTGGAATATCGTGATAACGAATCCGAATAATCTAACGACTTTTATAGAGCAGATAGAACATTTATTGGTTTTGACCTCATGGTCATAGTTACTCAAAACAGCCAAAAATGTCAAACAGAACTTTATAATTCTAACATAGCAGCTTGTATTATACCTATTTGTACGAATTCGAGAGAGTGGCGTCATGCAATATTAATTACTCTCTATCTGTGGCATCAATCCGAGTAGACCATAATTATATGTTCCACTGATTGCTATGATTATTGTGCAATTCATTCCAAACTGGTGGTTTTTCTGTAACTTCGTTTTTCTGGCAAGAGGCTTTAGGGAATTGGGACATATAATATTTTCTTAACGCACTACACAACTTTCTGAAAATAAATATTTGGTTATAAGAAAATAAAACTACACATTACATTGCACTTCTATTCAACTACTACCAGGCCCCTTTCATTCTCTCAAATCATCTCTTCCTCTCTCTCTCTCTCTCTCTCTCTCTCTCTCTCTCTCTCTCTCTCTCTCTCTCTCTCTCTCTCTCTCTCTCTCTCTCTCTTTCTCCTTTCAAGTGATTGTGTTCTTTTCCTTTTTTCATGGCACTTTTGCATAGAAAGTATCTAAACACGACGATGAAAGTCTTGTTGTGCAATGCACCGCAATCATGAATTTCTACTATTTACTAGACTCTACACCAGTGCTTTTGGACCTATGTATTGCCAGCGCTAACTTTTACCACAATGTCATTGCAGGTAAGATGTTAAAATTTTCGTTACACCCACCTTTGTGTATTTTTAAGCAGGCATTAAATGATACCTATCACTTCCCTAGCGATTCCAACCACCCACTAATATCACTAAATCGACAGTGACAGAACCATGCAATTTTGACCCATGAGAAGAGATATGTGCACAAAGCGTACTTTTTAATTACGGAAACTTTATCTATAAATGAGTGTTTTATGTCATTTGTTGTGATGTGAGCCAATGACCTTAAACACTGGATTAACTTACTAACTTCACCAAATCGACCAGGTAGACAATAATTGATATACACTTGAATCTAAACCTCAAGTTAAATATCTAATTCTGAAATGCAACGCACACGTTTTACTACCTACTTCACTCTACATCTACAATGCCCACTAGCTCAATAATCCATCCCCTTTTTATCCAGTTTTCTTTTTTGCCCTTTCAGCGCTTGCCAAACGCCCATAATTCCATGCCCAGGGAATACCCCAACGTTATGTCTAAACATTTGCTTGTGGTGCTAACTTACGTTTCTTCTTTTCAGTGAAGTCACTGCAGACTTTTTTTCGTTTAAAGATAAATATATAAATAAATAGGTAAATAAATAAATTGTAAAAGAATAAATAAATAAATAAGTAACAAGAAACAAGACAAGTAAAATAATAGAAGTTTTATCAGAATATGGACATATCAGTTAAGAGACAATTAAGAAAACAAAAGGATGCATAAGCAAATAGTTTGAGTTTAACCAATCACAACCCCAGATAATTGCAAAACATGGGAGCAAGCTTCTAAATCCCATGTTTGCACGTTGTCAAATCCACACAGAAATAAATTTTTCCTATCACTAAATGACTGTTATTATATCTATCCTTGCTTAAATTCAAACATGAAAACACACTCACCGAATCAGAAACTTATGGTAAAATATATAGATGTAGCAAAGCGTGTATATAGGAGAAGGTTCCTTTCAAAGGATGTCCCCGGTATCATCGTAGTATATCATCGTCATTTCAGACAAAACATGTAGTGTCCTTGTTCACTCAAGTCGTTTGACACCTTCTAGTGTAGCTCACACAACGTAAGTCTAAATTTTACACCAAATTCCTGTTTCCTTTTCCACCCTGAAACACACAATCACAAGTAAAAGCAGAAAGATGGAATAGAGACTGCAGTAAGTAGGTAGATGTGGCTGTTCTAGAATTATTCCTCTTTACGGTTGCCCTGTGTTTTGTGGTGAGAATTAAGACTTACCCTGAGGGCCGGAAAGGGCTTCTGTTTGGGCAAACCGCGCTAAGCCTAAGAGGTAAGGGCCGCTTCCTCCAGGAAAAATGACCCTAATCCTTTATATAGTCCAGGAACAAACGGGAAGGGGGAAAAGAGAGTGAGAGATAGAGGGAGAGAAAGAGGGAGAGAGAGAGCAAGCAGCAGCAGCAGCAGCAGCAACAGCAGCAGCGCCACCCACCGACCGCACAGACGATGGGTGAGACGTAGCTATTTTTAGCACACACACTCTACGTGGTCATCGGCTGGACGAACTCCTTGAGGGTGGGCAACAATTTGGACACCGACGGTGGGCGGGAAAAGCCGCCATTTTGAGTCGGCTGAAGACGAAAGGAGACATGTGAGAATAAAAATTGATCTGTTGGCGCGGCGGGTTTCAGCCAGTGACGGCCCAAATGTTCTGGTGTCGGCCAGGCGGGTTTAGACCTATCATCCTGCGGTGATTTTGACTGGGATGTCATTTGTGGTTCTCTCGCTGCGTGAGTTGTGGTCAGACTCTCTCAGGAAGTGTCCGATATTAGCCTCCGTCTCACATGAATGTCAGTCTAACGGACAGCCTCTCGTAGGAACTGTGGGATTGTCCGGGAGATTTTGGATCATCGACAAAAAGAGGGGATTTGCGAGGTTAATGTCCACAGCTTGGATTATCTGAGCTATATTTAGAAGTCGATGGGTGATGATCAAAGCAGATCGGTCAGAAATGTTATCTCCTTTCAGTACAACATGTCCGCATAATCCTCACCTTTGAACCTGCCTTCATTTGATAGAAATGATCATTTCAACTTAGATACCACCACCCCCCTCCCTTCCGGCCCCATACACACACTTTATCTCGAACAATAAAAAATGACACCCCTGTCCCTTTCCACAATGGCCCCAACCCCAAATACCACTCGAAAAACTGAAACAAAAGCCGAAAAACAAAACAACCCACGCCCTCAATTGTCCCTCTTTCTTTTTTTCCTTCTCTTTTCCCTCCCTTCATTTTATCATTCTCTTTCCCCTTTGAAGTCTGTCCATCTCAAATTCTTAACTGATTTTTTTTTTGTGTCGAAAATTTCGCCTAAACAAGGCCCAAAAACAAAACAGACACAAAATGAATTGAGGTAAAGGTCTTTGTGAATGGGCAAAAGTAAAAGAAAAAAAAAATCCACCGAAATTGCCTTAGACAACCACGTATTGTCTAGGAGAAATACGGTTCTCTAAAACAGGTGGACGTTTTGAACAATGCCATTACAATTTCAGAGCCGTAACGCATGGAGAAACTGGGAAGTGGTCGTAAATAGGGTGACTGTCCGGGATCAGTGGATGTTAGAGCAGGTTCAAATGCATGATAAACCCCAATCTGGAATGGAAAGAAGAAAGAAAAAAGAAACATGAAAGGATGTGACTGATAAGATACTATTGTTGAGTTATTTCTGAAAAAAACCTTCACAAACTTTAAACAAAACAAGACAAATCAAAGCATGTGTCATTCATAAAAAGAATGCTAAGCACAACTACAAGTCTAATGTTTGTGTTTCTTTGTCATTGGTCATCGATCGTTGTAGAGATTTAACGCCCCTTTCAACACTGAACGTTTTTTTGAGAGGCGGGACCACTGAATCCATAACGTCCATTTCCGATAGGACTGAGCCAAATGGGTCCAGAGCCATAAAACCTCACCAATACAACCCAATTTCAGATCGCCCCAGGGATTCGAACCAGGGCAACCCATTTCTTAGCCCAGCATGAAACCAAGTAAGTTAACGGTGCGCTTGTGTATCCTTGAAAAAACAAAAAACAATAACAACAACAACAAAAAAAGCCCTGCCACCTGCCCCAAGTCCTTTTTTTCCCTGCTCCGCACAGATACAACCGCATCAAACTCTTTTCATCTTCTGTTAACACAATAAAAAAGAAGTAAAATAAAAAAAAACTATTGAAAAACAAAACAAAACGAAGGACAGCCATAAACCTAGTTTTTCTCAAAGTATCACGCCTATTGTATGTGCACCCTGCCGCTTCTCCCCCCTCCTACCCCCCCCCCTTTCCACCACGCTCCCGTACGTCTTTTACATCAAGCCCCGAGAACCAAGACCCTCACCCCTCCCACGTCCACTCCCACCCTCTAAACTACCCCAACCAACGATCACCACTACCCACCTCCATTCAAAAAGAGTTCTTTTTCTTTCCCTAACTCCCCCCCCCCTCCACACACACACACACACACACACACACACACACACACACACACACACACACACACACACACACACACACACACACACACCATGACCAAATCCACCTCACGACCTCCGTACCCTCGTGCGTCCTATTTTCGATCTTGTTGTTTTTATTATTTTTGAATGACTCCAGGTTTTTATTTTGCCCATTCTCTTTTGCGTCCTTGTTTCAATTTTCCCACACCTTCGGGACATTTTCTGTCCCTTTGTCTTTCTCACTCCAAATCATGTCATGGGAAGGGAACCAACAGGAACGTCGAATTCTCACAGGAAAGAACCATAGTCTCAGGGATTTTATTTTCATTGAGCATTTACGGGACAAGATAAGTTACTGATGTAGCCAGTTGTGAGGACGGTAAGCTTGGAGATTGCACACAAGAGAGTTAAAAAGGAGAATTCAGGGAATTCAGGGGACGAAACAATCTCTTCTGATAGATTGTGTATCTTTGTTTGTTTGCTTTTGTTTTTGTTTTTGATTTTGATTTTGATTTTGATATTTTAAAATATGGTGTTTTATTCTCTGTCTCTATATATATAAAGAGGTAGATTGAGGACAAACGGTCCAGGGGCAGACCAAGAGTGAATAACTTACCTAGAAACCTTGAAAAGATGGATGACAGGGAAAGACCACGACAAGATAAATACGGTGTTGGGTTAAGGTGCTATTTTTTTATTTTTTTAGAGAACTTCCAATCAGAGAAATGAGAGGCGAAACGTGATGTTTGATGTATGATTCAGATCTGGTGTTCGAACAAGAGCAAGAACAACAACAACAACAACAAGAAGAAGAACACGAAAAAGAAGTAGCAATCGTCGAATGTTGGAATGGATAACTCATAAACGTTTTAATGCATAAGTGGACAAATCATTAATTAAAATTATGGTGATTGAATAAATGTCGCAAAGAATGTCGATATTTCTAAACTATGGTTTATTCTCTAGATATCACGTAAAACCTGAACTTTGCTTGAAAAAGTGATAATATTCTAGCCCCCTTCTCATTCAACCTCTCCCCATTCCCAGAACACACAAACACACACACACACACACACACACACACGCGCGCACGCACACG